ATTACAATCAATAATTGTCATGTTGTAACTAATAAAAAATAAAGAAAAAAATTTTTTTTGAGGTTCTGATCATGTTATACCCAATTTTGCATTCTGATTGGATGGTTATGGCAAATCAATATAAATCGATATTTTTGACCAAATCGATAGATATTTTTGCCAAAACAAATCAATATTTTCTCTGGTTCCTGACGGACATGTACCATATCATGTGATTTTGCACGTACTGAACATCACGTGATACATACGTACATAAGCTATCGAAGTAGAATTTTCTTAATTTTGGGACAAAATTTCTCGACAGCTATCAAATATAATTTGATAAAAAAAATTTAAACTAATTCTATAAATTAGTAGAATTCATTTAAAAAAATTTTTATCGAATCTTGTTAAGAAATTTTCGTTCAAAGTTTGCAAAAATTTCTGCTACCTAATAGTCATAGCAGAAATTTTCTAAATTTTGAATAAAAATTTCTCAACAGCTACCTGATAAAATTCGATGAAAAATTTTTTAAATAAATTCTATAAAATATTCAAACTAATTTTAAAAAAAAATCATTGAATTCTGTCAGGTAGTTGTCAAAAAATTTTTGTTCAAAGTTTGAAAAAAATTTTTGCCATGATATTAAAAGATGATAGAAATTTCTCCAAACTTTAAATAAAATTTCTCAACATTTACTTAACAGAATTCAATGAGTTTTTTTTAAAGGAATCTACTATTTTTTTGAATTTTATTTAAAAAAAAATTTATAGAAAATTTTCTCATGGCTATTTTCTTGAAAGTAGAAATTTTTTCAAACTTTAAATAAAAATTTTTTAACAACTATTCAATAGAATTCAATAAAAAATTTTTTGAATCAATTCTAATAATTCATAAAATGATTTAAAAAAAAATTCATCAGATTATATAGGATAGTTGTTGAGAAAATTTGTAAGAAAAATTCGATTTCGATAGCTTACGTCGTTAAGTGTCACGTGATATCTGGTACATGCAAATTCACATGATCTGGTATGTGTCTGTAGATGGTCTGCCCAGTATTACGGACAAGCTATAGACAGTTCTTAGAGACAGTTTAAATCACGTAAATAGTTGTTAAGAACAGTTAAGGTTTAGAGAAAACTTAACCTGTTCCAGGGGTATATGTAGTTTATCCTATTTCTGGAGGTATAGATAATTTATTCTGACCCTCCTAATTTTTGTTTTGTTTTGATAATCGTTAGATAATGATCAAAAAAAAAATTTTTTTTTTAGCTTTTGTTGTTATTTTTTGGTGCTTTTCGTTGTTATTTTTTGGTGCTTTTCGTCGTTATCATTTGTTGATGCTTTTTGTCGTCATTTGTTAGTACTTTTCGTTATCGTTTGTTGGTGCCTTTTGTCATCGTTTGTTGGTGCCTTTCGTTGTCGTTTGTTGGTGCCTTTCGTCATCATTTGTTTGTCGTCGTTTGTTGGTACTTTTCATCGTCATTTGTTGGTGCTTTTCGTTATTGTTTGTTGGTATTTTTCGTCATCGTTTGTTGGTACTTTTCGTCGTCAATTGTTGGTGCTTTTCGTCATCATTTGTTGGTGCTTTTCATCGTCGTTTGTTGGTGCTTTTGATCATTATTTGGTGGTGCTTTTCGTTGTCGTTTGTTAGTACTTTTGATCATCGCTTGTTGGTGAATTTGGTTGTTGTTTGGTGGTGCTTTTGGTCATCATTTGGTGATGCTTTGGTTGTTAATTGCTGGTGCTTTTGGTAGTAGTTTGGTGATACTTTCATCTCTACTTGGTGTTTTTTTCATAATTATATATATATATATATATTTTTTAATAAAAATTATTTAGTAAGATTTCAAAAATTTTGTAATAATGTTTAAATAAATAAAATCATTTTTGAGTACAATTTTTATATTTTAAAAAAAATTTTAGTTAAGTACTTGCCGAGATATCTTCATTCAAAAT